CTGAAAATATAAAAGGATAACTAATTGAGTGATATTCTACCATTATATATTTTCACCCAAGTAACCCGTCTTGATGGATTGAAAGTGTTAGCTCTAGACGAAGATGAACAGGATTGTGTTGCCACTACCAATGTCGTCTACAAAGAGGTTTCAATAATGTGTAAATATAATCGGTGATATTAAGCTTTTTTTTTTTTTCAATGAAAAAATTGCTATATATCTTGACAAAAAAATGTATCTTCCATACAAGTAAATAAGGATAGCAATTCATCTCTATAACTGAGTTGTTAGAGAACGAGCACATTTGCCTATTTTATGAAAATACTAAACAATGATAAATAAAATCTTCAAAGTTATAGCACCGCATGCGTACATCTAAATATAGCTATTAATTTGAGCAATTATTTGCACAAATTCAAGCAATGATAACATCAAAATATATTAACGATCCAAATCATATCTTTAATTGTACTATATAATATTTGATGTTCTAATTTAAATAATTATATATCGATTCATATATTATTAATATATTACAACAAATCTATTCCGTGCATCTCACGGGTGCAAATACTAGTATAAAAAATATATAATGATTTCTTAAACTAATATTTAAGGATATGTTTTTGATATTCTAGTAAGAAATTATTAATATTTGATAGTAATCTAAAATAAATTTATTGCCAACCTTCAAATAAAGGAAAAAATCTCTTATAATATTTCTTGCCTTATTTGCGGTAGTTATATTTGAAAATTTATTATATCTCTATATCTCTATCTCTATATATATTAAAGCAAAATGATTAGCACAAAAATTTTCCCCCCAAAAACTTAAGGACATTTTTGTAAAACCAAACTAATAATAATAATAATAATAATAATAATAATAATAATAATAATAATAATAATGATAATAATGTTGTTACCACAAAATAAGTACTTACTTTAATAATACTAATTATTCTTATTAAAATAAATACTAATTATTCTTATTAAAATAATTTTACTCCACAAAATAAGTACTTACCTTAATAATACTAATTATTCTTATTAAAATAAATACTAATTGAGAATCACACCCAGGCCAATGTGCTGGCCTCATTGTGGGCACATAATTGGCTATTGAGTCACCATGAAGTATTGTATTGCAAAGGAATAATAATAACAACAACAACAACAACAACAACAATAATAATAATAATAATATAATAAGATTAATAATGAATTAGCCAATTTATAAATAAATTCATGTAACTCATGTAATTTAACATGTTGAGTAAAAGAAAAATATAATATTAGTTACTATTATTATTATTATAGCAATAGCAATTATTATAGTAATAATAAATTCATGTAACTCATGTAATTTAACATGTTGAGTAAAAGAAAAATATAATATTAGTTACTATTATTATTATTATAGCAATAGCAATAGCAATTATTATAGTAATAATAATTCGTTACTATATAATAGTATTTCAATTAAACTAAATCATTCTATATATATATTTTTATATATGTAAAAGAAGGGGGAAACCCAAAGGAGTACAAAATTACACTGAGTCTAGAGTATTACGCCAAACAGGCAGGCCAGACCTATCATCATCTAGAAGAATTCTAATGTCATCAGGTGGATCTGTTAATGAAAGAAGTCCGAAGTCATGATCCAAAGCCATCTTTGCTAATGCGTCGGCAACATAATTTTGTTCCCGAAAAATTGGATTGAGCGTCCAGAAGTCAAGGTGACAAAGTTCCTTCTTGCATGCTTCTAGGACATTGTGGGCAGCAATGCTGGGAGGCCTGGGCTTGATCAAGTAGTCGACTGCTTCGTGGGAGTCACTTTCAATATGCACTTTTTTGAAACCATTGGTTGTAGCAAACTGGATCCCCTTCAATAACGCCCAAGCTTCAGCCTCCAACGGGGTACATGTGCCTAGCTTGGCCATGAATCCTATCTTCCAGTTGCCTGAGGAGTCCCTTATCACACCGCCACAGGCAGCCCGGTTTGAAAGGGCAGCAGCAGCTCCATCTACATTCAACTTTACGGTGTCCTCCGGGGGTTTTAGCCAGCGAAGCAGCTTCCAAGCTCTTGGACTATCGTTGGCCAGAGAGCGTTTCGATTTGGAGAAGGCAGAGCTGGACTCTTCAGCTTGGGATTGGATTAGAGAGATTTTAGACCTTAAGGGTCTATAAGTATCCTTGAAGATAGCCTCATTGCGCCATTTCCATAGCCACCAAAGGATGATCGCAAAAGTAATGTTGTCGTTACATGGTCTCCTTCCACCACCTTTCATGGAGAGGCCCTCATCAAGCCAGGCAACCAGGGGTAGATTACGAGTATTTTCATGTAGCTGCGGCAAGGTGGCTTCCCAAATCTCCTCGGCTAGCGGACAGAAGCGAAGGATATGATCGGAATCTTCAACTATCGTGCCACAGGACCAGCAGTTTTCGTTGTCAGTGAGGCCACATCTCTTTCGGTTTCGGTTTGTCATAATCTTATCATGTCTTACCAGCCAGAGGAATGTACAGATCCGGTTTGGGATTCTCAGTTTCCAGAGATTAGTCCATATCGCAGAGTCAATAGGCGTTGGAGTATTAAGAGCTGCCGTATAAGCTGAATTGACAGAGAATCGACCGTCGGCCTCCATGCTCCATATGGCTCGGTCTTCTGTTTGAGAATCCTCTTGAAGGATTACCGTAGCCAGTCTACTTAGGATTCTGGCAGGGAGGACACGATCCAACAAGTCCCACTTCCAACCTTCACCCGAGATCCAGTATGCTGCAACAGCATTATTGAGTGTAGAATGGGCGATTTGCTCCAGGGCAGCTTCAAATAGAGGGACTGCCTCAAGCCAGTTATCCAACCAAAAACGTGTTGATTTACCGTTGCTTACGTGCCATTTGATACCTTTTTGAATGATGGGAAGAGCTTGGAGAATGCCTCTCCACGCATTGGAGTTCCTATTCCTCGGTTTCCAGGAGGATAAGACAGCGGGTTCAGCCCCATACTTAGCTTTCAAGATCTTGATCCAAAGACAGTCTTCTTCCTGAAAAAATCTCCAAGCGAGTTTAGCTAAAAACGCCAAGTTCATTAGTTTGAGATTCTTGATGCCTAAACCCCCATTTGCCTTATTGTTGGTGACGACATCCCATTTTACTAAGTGGCATTTCCTTTCGCCTCCCTTGCTGCCCCAAAGGAAACTTCGAATACGCCTTTCTATGGCATCAATTACTGTAGTCGGAAGCAGCGTGGATTGCATGCTATAATACGGGATGGCTGAGAGAACTGATTGGGCCAATATATGTCGGCCGGCTAGTGAGAGGGTCTTGGTTTTCCATCCATCGAGGTGTGAGTGAATTCTGTCCAAGATACCCTTGAACGAGTCTTTGTTGATTCTGCCATGAATAGAGGGAAGACCTAAGTGATTGCCCAAGGTTGGGACACTTGGGATCCTTAGGGCATCCGTGATGAGCTGCTGTGTTGTTGGATCAGTGTTCCTTGAAAAATAGATCGAAGATTTCTGGAGGCTGACACTTTGGCCTGAGCTAGCGCAGAACATATCAAGGCAGCCTTTCATTACCGTCGCCTGATCAGCAGTGGCTTCTCCAAATAGAACTAGGTCATCTGCAAAAAACAAGTGGGTTAGGTTAGGAGCTTCGCGAGAAAGCTTTATGCCCTTCCAGTGTCCATTATTAACTGATTTATCAATGATATGACTTAATCTTTCGATACATAGTACAAATAAAAGGGGAGAAATTGGGTCTCCCTGTCTAATTCCCCGTTCCGGGGTGAACCAGTAATAAGAAAAATATAATATTAGTTACTATTATTATTATTATAGCAATAACAATTATTATAGTAATAATAAATTCATGTAACTCATGTAATTTAACATGTTGAGTAAAAGAAAAATATAATATTAGTTACTATTATTATTATTATAGCAATAGCAATAGCAATAGCAATTATTATAGTAATAATAATTCGTTACTATATAATAGTATTTCAATTAAACTAAATCACTCTATATATTTAGTATTACAAATGATCATCCTTAATTAAATTAAATCATATTTTTTTTTTAATGCTACTGACTCTATTACAATGTAGTATCTGTTCATAACTACACACCTCAACTGAGGCTCGAACTCACAACCTCCCACATGAAAATTCAACCCAGCTGTCATTACAACACAAGGTCTTGGCAAATTATCCTTAATTAAATCATTTAAATTAAATCAGTCTATATATTTAGTATTACAAATAATCATCCTTAATTAAATTGGATCACCCTTAATTAAATTAAAGCATCCTTAATTAAATTCGATCATACTTAATAAATTAAATCATCCTTAATTAAATCATTTAAATTAAAAATCAACCTATATATTTTGTATTATACAAATAATCATCCTTAACTAAATTAAATCATCCTTAATTAAATTAAATCATCCTTAATTAAATTATTTAAATTAAATCAACCTTAATTAAATCAATCCTTAATACAAAACATAAAATCAGTCTTAATAACAACACAGAAACGCGGAATCGTCCTATTAGCCAATTATTATTACTATAATTGCTATTACTATTACTATTTACTATAATAATAATAATAATAATAATAATAATAATAATAATAATAATAATAATAATAATAATAATAATAATAATAATAATAATACTATAATATACTATAATAATAATACTATAATAACGAATTAGCCTTACAAAACGAATTATTCACATAAAGAAAAGCAGAATCATGCATCCTATTAACTTTAACGAATTATTATTACTATAATTACTATGCACGTGTAATTTATAGTATTTATTATGCATGGGAATTATTATTCATCTGTTACTATGCACGGAAATCATGCAATAGCTATTAGTATTAGTATTTAGTATTTCATAATTAAATTAAATCATCAATCCTTAGTTTGCACCTTTGATTACATAATTTGGGGCGCAAAAAGTTGAAGCTCTAGATCGAACCATGAGGGATTTGTTGCGATTTGTAGACCCTCATAGTTCACACAAGACATTTGGTGGTAAAACAGTAGTACTAGGTGGTGTCTTTCGCCAAATTCTGCCAGTAGTCCCTAAAGGTACCAGACAATATATTGTATTTTCAGCTATAAATCCATCATATTTGTGGAACAGTTGAAAGGTACTGAGGCTCACGAAGAACTTGCGTCTGAATACTGTCAAAGACACAGTAGAACAACAAGAGTCAGAACAGTTTGCAGATTGGATAGCTTCTATTGGCGATGGGAAAATTGGTGAACCTAATGATGGTTATGCAGAAGTTGAAATACCTAATCATATGTTACTATCGTCAGATGGTGACCATATTGAAACCATTGTTAGAAGTACATTTCCTATGTTTGCCAATGATAATTCTGATGCAAGTTATCTTCAGGGCGTGCTATACTACCACCTACACTGGATGTAGTGAACTCAGTGAATGAATATATGAGTGAGTTGCATACGGCTGAAAGTAGAACATATTTTAGTTGTGACACAGTGTGCAAAGCCAATGCAAACGCTGGAATACTGGGTGATGTACACACACCGGAATTTTTGAACGGCATTAGAGCTTCAGGTGTACCAAACCATTCATTAACTTTAAAAATTGGCTCACCAGTCATGTTGTTAAGAAATGTCGATCATTCAGTTGGATTGTGTAATGGTACGCGGTTGGTAATCACCAAGTTAGCAGACCGTGTAATTGAAGCTGGGTTAATGGATGGTGCTAACAAAGGAACAAAAGTGTCGATCCCCAGAATGTCAATGTCACCATCTGATACCAGGTTGCCATTCAAGTTTCAACGAAGACAATTCCCATTGATGTTATCATATGCAATGACTATTAACAAAAGTCAAGGTCAAACATTGTCACATGTAGGATTGTTCCTTAAAAAACCAGTTTTTGTGCATGGTCAGTTGTACGTGGCTGCTTCTCGAGTTAACAACCCAAGTGGTCTTAAAATATTGATTGCCAAGAACTCAAATTCATCTATTACATCAACAACCAACGTGGTATACCACGAAATTTTCAATAATTTGTAATTTTGTCACTCTTATTTTTCTATATTGTATGTTAAAGTAATTTCTTTATTGTTTCTATTTTCCATTTTATATTCCTGTTCCAACTTTTTATATATTACATCATCTCTTAAATTTTTCACACAGTTACACAATAAGATGAAGAATATTCATCGCGTGCATCGCACGGGTATCATACTAGTTTATATAATAAGATAAGATTCCATTTATCTTTTGACCATAGATTTTTAATATGAAATAATGATTTGCACATCGGTCACTGCTCATAAACTACAAAAGAATGGTAAACCGTTATAAGAATACCTTATGCAATGAGCTCGCAAGAGCGTTGACAAAATGTAACCTTCAAATATGAGAATGATATTGCACTCATTCGAGATATCATATTTTAAAATTATTTACTACTTTTTAGTTTCATCATAAATTCATAATTTTTCAATTCTCTGCGGAGACTAATTGCATTAAACTATTAATTAAAGTTTTCACCATTTTAGCTTGTTTATATTTTCACTTTATTTAATAGTTTCTTAATGATTTTATAAATAATTTTTGGAAAATGCATATGGCCAAAACAATTATCGCTACCTATTAGCCCCTCTTGGATTAAAAAAAAATGAAAATTATTTTTTTTCATGGATTATTGGTGAACTAAGTTACTACATGTTGAATTAATAAGGAATCTATGTATTCAATACAAATATAACACATCAATGAGTTACTAATAGAGAGTAGTAATCACAATGTCATAGAGTCAGTAACATTTAAAAAAAAAAATAGAGAGTAGTAATCTAAATAAAAACATTATATGTGTCAATTCATGTTATATTTTTGGTTTTTTATTCTTTTTTTTTTTTTTTGCTAATAAATGTATACATTTTACTTTAAATATTGTACACTTCAATTTTATTGAACAAAATTGTCTATGCTACATTATTGTTAAACAAAACTACCATTAAACTATTATAATTTCGTTACTATTTAATTATAACATTGATAACTCTATCATTATTACCATAACCTATATTTATCAATTTTTTTTTTCATATTCTTTAATTATAATTTTATTAAAATCACTATATAATTAATTTAATTGTATATTATACTTAAAATAAATTTCTACGGATGGTAAATATGTGTGTGTGCATATAGTAAATATATGATCTGTGTATATATACCAATATATGTGCGTGCTAGCTCAGTATTATATATATTTTATTTATTTATTATTTTTTGTAAATATGGAGTATAAATTTTATTAAAATTGTTTACATTATTATTAAACAAAAATATAAAAAATATATATATACTTTTTTCTTCTCTATATTTTTCAAAGATGGTAATTAAAATTTCCAATTTAAGAAATTGTGAAATATTATTTGAACTAATTTTTTCATATTTGTATTTACCAATGAGGTAGAATATACGATCGAGTATGTCTACGTGTATAATACTTGGATCAATGTTGGGTTAGATCGCTCTTATAGTCTGCTTGTTGGTATACATTATTGAGCTCGATATTCTCTGACAGTGGGTCGATTGCCTCCGAGCTTATAGAGAGCTAAGGTCAGGGAGGCTAAAGGAGACAACCGGGTCAGGTTGGGCCGTAACACCCGGGCGTCAAGGACCCACGACCAACCATCAGACCTACGATCGGAGAATAATCTCTATCAATCAATATTTTAATATTGAATATGAATTTTTGTATCTCGCCCATACAAATTGCTAGTTGTAAGAATATATAGCAGAGTAAATACCCAAAATGGTCCCTCGACTATAGCTAAATTCACAAATTGGTCCTCAACTTTCAATTTCAACCAATTGAGTCCTTAACTTTGTAATTTTAACACAATTTGGTCATCTATCTATTTGACTGTTTGTTGACCGTGATTTTTGAAGATATATATGTAATTTCATGGTCCATCGTCGATTTTTTAAGGTTCTGGTTGCGTTTCCAAATCACACTGTTACATTTAAATCCATTGCAATCTACCAAATCCGGTCACCTTTCTTCATCCTCCCTTTGGATTCAATGTAGTTGAGTTCGTACCAGATCGAAGAAGACGACGTGTTTCCGAACCAGTGTAACGTCATCCTGGAGGCCTCCACGTGCTCCGACGAGAGCTGAAGGTTCTTCTCGGGATCATCGATCACGATCAACAAACGGTCAAATAGATGGATGACCAAATCGTGTCAAAATTACAAAGTTAAGGACTTAATTGGTTGAAATTGAAAGTCAAAGACCAATTTGTGAATTTAGCTATAGTCGGGGAATCATTTTGGGTATTTACTATATATAGCATGGTCAATAATTTTGTATATAGTAATTCATTTTGAATCCAAGCTTTGATTGGACCATGAATAGGAGAGCTCTCTATTTATTTTTAAAAAGTAATACTCAATCTGTTTTATTTTATGTGTCTGATTTAATTAATTAGATTTGACTTAAATTATTTACAATTCAACTATTATAATATTTAGGTTATTTAGGTTACTATTAGTATAAATTTTTTTCACTACTCCGTATTAAGTAAACAAAACTAAATTTAAAATCTATAGTCAAATTTAATTTAATGAATAAATATTAATACAAATAAAATGAGATTGAGAAAATATTATATATTTTTTTTATTGTCTGATTAATTCAGAAAAAATTAAATAATTTTTTTCCTCCCAAGTCACAAATACACACACCCTTGTCATTTTCAAAAATTTTAAAAAAATATTTTGCATGACATGTTAGCCCCTCGAATTTTGTACTTGAATGGACTTCCTTTCATTTCCTCATCTCACTAATGATTAAGATTTTTATCAAAAACACATCTCTAACCTTTCGGTCCTGGCCTGGCGGCTTTGCTCTCGTTTGATCCTTTTCTTCTTCTTCTTCGTCAAAATTTTAGGGTTTTTGCTGTCTCTGCCTAAAGCCCTACGTCTATCCTCACCTCAAATCTCGGCCTCTCATGTCCGAGATTCAACTTTAGGGTTTACAGATCTAGTTTTCTAGTTCGCTCCAGCCTTCAGCTCGCCGCTCGTCTTCATCTCTCACCGTTTACATACCTATATCTGTATCTATAGCCGCGGACGCGCATTCGAGATATGTTTTGGAAGCTGACACCACTCTCGGCTTCTTCGCCGGTAAGTCATTCGAGCATCTGTGTGTTTCAATGCTGTTGTCATCCACTTGTGTTTAATCGAGTGGAGAGATGTTCTCAATTTGCAGTTGTATTTCTATCTGACTCGCGTTTGTTGTTTTTATTTTATATCTTTTGCAATTAGTTTGGAACTGTTTTTTGGCGATGTTAGATTTTATGCTGATGTGGGTTTGTTGATGACACGGCATTGGGAATTGTTACTTTTGAAACGTAAAGTTCTCCAGTTTGTGTGATTCTAATGAAACATGTGTCGCTCATGGGTGCCGGTTATTATCAGTGTATTTTATTTACCGCAACAGCCAAATTGGTTTTGGATTGCAGTTACTTAGCTCTCTCTCTCTCTCTCTCTCTCAGTCTCTCTCAGTCTCTCTCTCTCTCTCTCTCTCTCTCTCTCTCTATGTGTGTGTGTGTGTGTGTGTGTTGACCAAGTTTAACGTGCCAGTAATTGTAATTCTGTAATTGACCTGGCCTGGGCTTTATTATGATCTGTAGTGGTCTAAGCTCTTAAAGGGTATGATATCTTCTTAGAACATGTTACTCTGCTTCTACCTTTGATTTTCTATTCGTTGGGGCTTTGTTGTTATACTACTTTTTCTGCTGGTGTGCTAGGTCGAAGCCATATTGGACAAGGAAAATTTCACTCTGGAAGAGCTTCTTGATGAAGAGGAGATAATCCAAGAATGCAAAGCTTTGAATAGTCGCCTCATAAATTTGTATGTACTTGTTAGATAGGAACTGATATGCTAGTTTTGTTTTACCATGATATTCAAAGATGATGGCTTGTTATGTATTTTACTATAAATCTCGGAGCTTCTTGTGTCTTATTCATTGTGGTAATTTGGTGGTTTGCAGTTTGAGGGATAGAGCACAGGTTGAACAGTTACTGCGTTATGTTATTGAAGAGCCTTCCAGTGATATAGATAACAAACGGACATTCAAGTATGTTTATGGGACAAAATCTTTAATGCTCTGTCTCTAGATTGAAGAGTCTGTTTCTTGCTTCTTAATTTTGTTTCTAATTTTAGTTTTTGTTTCAAATATTAGGTTTCCTTTCATTGCATGTGAGATATTCACATGCGAAATTGATGTTATCCTTAAGACTTTGGTGGAGGAGGAAGAGGTAAGCCATCAATTAGTCTCAGTTGAAATAATTGAATTCAAACCTTGAGATTATGTTCATATGATGTTCCAACCAAAATTTATCCCTTTTTCTTTTTTCAGTTAATGAATTTATTATTTTCCTTCTTGGAAGCAAGTCGTCCTCATAGCGCCTTGTTGGCTGGATATTTTAGCAAGGTATAATTTGACTACCTTAGTTAAGTCTCTGCTTTCCATGTATAATTCAATAAACAAGTTGCTTTATATATTTCCTGCTCTATTGTAGGTTGTTATATGCCTCATGATGCGGAAGACCATTCAACTTATGAACTATGTTCAGGTGCACTAAACGAAGTTCTTTGTGACTTAATTTCTACATGCCTAGAGTTTCTTCCCCCTTTTTTTTTTTTTTTACAAATAGAGTTGCTTCCTTAATTATTCAGAATATTCTTTTTTAAACGATCATTTTGTACTGCATTTGATTGTTGAGCTATTGATTTTCTAAAAGTAATTTATTTCTTCTTTAGTGCCACACCAGTCTATAAAATAATAAGTTACACATATGATGCCACATTAACATCACCCTATTACAATTGGATAGGATAATAACCCATTAAAAGTAGTAATTGCACTTCTTTTGCACGTTCAAGCGGTCAATTGAAGCTTTTTCCAGTTCAAATGCCCAATTGCATTTTATATATCGTTTGAGTTCAAGGGCTTATTTGACCCTTTTTCCAAATTTGTTTGATAATTATG